GAGAGAAGCCTCACGCTTGCCAGTACCCTGGCTGCAGCAAGAAGTTCTCTCGCTCAGACGAGCTCACCCGCCACTCAAGAATACACAGCAACCCTAACTCAAGGAGAGGCAAGAACCAGTACAACTCTGGTCCTCAGCCCCATTTGCCCCAGGATGGCATGATGGCTCCTCCTCCCGCACCCAAGACGATTCGTTCTGCGCCTACTTCGAGCTTGTCCTCGCCTAACGTCTCGCCGCCGCATTCGTTTTCTCAGTACGTCTTGCCCGCTCACCCGGGACACGGCAGCCCCTTTGGCCGCCAGATGCAGGGCCAGTCCAACATGGACATCTCTATCCTGGCAAAGGCTGCGAACCAGGTTGAGCGTGAGACGCTCACCGCACCGCCTTTCCACGGCTCTTCTGCCAGACATCACCCTTACTACTCCCACAGCCTGCACAACTCGCGCGGCCACCTCCCCTCTCTCTCAGCCTACCACATGTCGAGATCGCACTCCAACGATGAGCACAACGATGACCACTACGCTGGCTCTCGCCACGCAAAGCGATCTCGCCCCAACTCGCCCAACTCCACGGCACCATCCTCCCCTACCTTCTCCCACGACTCCTTGTCGCCTACTCCCGACCACACCCCTATCGCTACACCCGCTCACTCCCCGAGACTTCGTCCCATGGGCTACGAGCTGCCTTCTCTCCGTAATCTTTCCCTGCAGCACGCGGCACCTCCTGCTTTGGCTCCTCTCGAGCCTCACCTGGAGACTCCTTACTTGCCTCCCCCTCCCGCGCCTACCAGCGCCGGAACCCCCACTCGGAACGGTGCTTCTCTGGCAGACATTATCAGCCGGCCTGACGCCGGTAGAAAACTGCCAGTCCCCAAGATTGGTGTTCACCAGCTTCTGGACGGAAACGACGGTTTCCAGAGCGGCAGGAGTTCCACCACTGGCAGCGTCGCCGGCGGTGACCTCATGGATCGGATGTAACGGGAACGACAACCTTAAAGTGGCATGACCTGACGACCTGGGCAATAGACGGGATAGAAGAACAATGGCGTTTCCGGGTATTTTTGAATTGGCAGAGTTGGCCGACCACGACTTCTTTATCTAATCACCAAACAACAAACAAACCAAAGAATTCGATGGGCTCCTCTTTGCAGTGGCGGCTACACACAATCTTATAGACTCACTCCTACCTCGATGGACGAACAACCAGAGATCGGAAATACGACTGCACCCTCACCCCTCAACAACAACGAAAAGCAAAACTCATTTTTCTTGTGTCTTTTTTTCTCCTCTCTTTCTTGTGTGTGATGGATATAGGGATTTTGTGAGTGTGTGTGTGTGTATGAGAACGTCAACGGGTCGTTACAAAACCCGTCCTTTCTCATCTGTGTCACGGATTTGCTTGTATCGGCGATGGGACGGAGACAAACCAAGATATCAACCTATAGACGGCGGGAACAACTTTGGGCGGTGTACGCGAGAGGATTTTCTTCCTCTTTGGGCGGGTTTTTTGTTTTTTTTGAAGCGCAGAGACGGCGCTAACACTCTGGTCTACTGGTTTTTTTTATGTCTGGATTTTCTTTACGACGAACGTCGCCGCCTAGGCTGGCTGGACGAAAGCTTGTTTTCCTTTACAACTGTTCTTAGAAAGAGATTTACTCGACAAACCCTCGACAAACTCGAGAAGGAGAAATCCAAACAGATCTTCCCCCCACACTTTCAACAGCATTCCAACTCCTCGCCGTTTGATGTGATGAATCTAGTGACCTAAAACGGGACTCTATCTGCTTGTGTGTGTGTGTGTCTCAAACAGTGGACTGATTTGTTCCCCCCCTCGTGTTTGCAAATGTGATGTGTGCGAGGGTGCATCTGAGGTGTGACCAAGAAACACCCACCACCGATGATCGGAACCCGTGCCCAGGCGGCCGTTTGTTTCCCTCTCTCTCTCTCTTTTCCTTATGATGGGTTGGAAAGGGGGGGAGGGAGGGAGGGTGTGGTGGACGGTTTTTGGTGGTGTCCGGGGTTCGCGGGCTGCTGCGCGGGCGTTTCCCTCCACCATCCCATCCCTCTCTTACTTTTCCCCCCGGGGCCCCCCCACCCCACACACTTTAGAGGTAAGGTAGGTACTAAGGGGTATGACGCCGTACGTAATCTGCGCAACTTTGCCCAGACGGGACTTTACAGAAATGGCAAGTTCAGAGTCAAAGTCGCTAAGCATCGTTTTTCCCCCACAAACAGCTGCCAAACCACGAGAATGATCGTCGAAAGAGACGATTAATCATGGAGGGCCTCAAGCCACACAAGAGATTCGACCCTTTTGGGGGGGGGGGGGGGATAATCCAAAGGGGGTTTTTTTTTTCTGGGGTTACTGTGGCGGACTGGGGAATTATTTCTGGGGAAGATGAGGCGCTCTTTTGACCAAGGTTACCTCAAACTGGCGGCATGGTTCTGGGGGAATTGGAAAAAAGACAAACCAAAATCCTCTCTCCCTCTCTCTCAACTCCTCTCAAGATCCTTTGTTGCCCAGATCCGTACATCTACATACCTTCCCCACCGGACTTTGTGGAACAATTCTGATGGAATTTCGCTCGACTATCACTGAGTTGCAAAGAAACAACGGGGGGGGGGGGTAGCCTCCCCCTTCTTCTAGTTCGTTCAAGTACAGCTTTTAGTACACTCACACCCTTTTCATAAGGCAGGAAGTTCGGGTACTAAATCTGAATACTATTTAATCTTGATCCCGCCTATTCCGCAGGACTTGGTTGTGTTTGTTTCCCGAGGGTGTTGCGTAAGTGCCTGTATCTCTGCGCGGGTATGCGCGGGTGGGTGTCATCGAAAGGGCCAACGCAACAACACAACTTTCTGTTCTTTTGCCAAACTTGTCATTACCTGACCTAAAGTGAGTATAGATAGCGTAAACAGGTAACAACTTTACGTATGGATACTCACTCCCCCCCCGCCCTTGCCAACCAACATTAAGCCCTGTGAGGCAGAACCCTTCATAAAAAAAAAAACCAAGGCACAGATGGGATCTTCCAGCCCCCAGCCCCATCTCCAATTCCAGCCCCAGCTTTCCAACTCCATTCGTAAGAACACAAGAAAAAACTGTAGGGGATTTGTATTTTTCCAATGTTTTAGTTGGTGTTATTTGTCCCATTCAGGCCCTATCTTTCACCCATTTTCCTTGGCACCATGTCGTTCCATGGCTGGGGTTGGTGGGCTCTTGGGCGGTTAACTGACACATGCATACACACGCCCCCATCGAGGTAGGAGACACCACTCAACTTTCCATACCTACCTACCCCTTTGGATCGTCGTCTGCACTGAACGGGGGGCTTGTCACTTTGAAGCGGATAGATACGGATACATTGATCAAATCGTATCCGCAATCTGCAGTTTATTAACCTGCAGGCTGGCTGCATCCAGCATTTTCCCATCTTTTTGCCTGCCGGATTCACTCCAAGCGCGCGTTTTCCCCGGACTCTGAGCACCAAAAAAAAGCCTAGAATTGTACTGCTCAATCGTTCGACATCGTCATCGATAGTGACAATGCCTAGGTAGTCCGCCTTTCCCCCCGACTCATGAACGCTAGTAGATCCTGATCGACCGAGACCCGTGGAGATAAAAAGGATAGAGCAATATGGGGGCGTTAGAGAAATCTCGGCCAAGACGTGACTTGACTTGAGAGAACGGGGCACGCGAGACCCCATCCTGCCAGTTACCTACGTCAAGATGGGTTGGAAGGAAGGGAAAAGGGTAGGAAGCGAGAACCACTTTCTCTGCTTGTGTCGTGCCATATCTCGGCCAAATCCCCCCCATGCCAACTTGCACGAACATTTCGATAAACCTGATGGAATGATGCGCTGGTGTGGAGTTTCGGGGCAGGTGCAAGAGTCAGTTCCCCTGGAGGCCCAAGGACCCCTCCAGCAAAAGTCAACAACCCTTTCTCATGCCGCACCCCTCCTCCGGCTCTCGAGCTCTCTTCCCTACCATTCTGTCCCTCCTCGCCAGGGATTCAGGAGAGTGAAAAAAGGTCTGGAACGGACGGCATTACGTATTTCTCTGGGGGATGATATCACACCCGGCCCCACTGTCCCTGGCATGAAGGCGTTGCGTTGGCACCTACTCTGACACTTTGCTTCGTTTCCGTGGGGAAAGAAGAAAAGCCAGAAAAAAACTGTTTGCCAACTCTATAGGATCTTCGTGGCCGGAAGGATGGATTTTTTTTTTTTTTCCTCCCCCCTCCCCGACTAGCGCCCTGTGTATATCAGATCATTGCGACGACACAAGCAAAATGTTGTCGGCCAAGAATAGCATGATCCGGAGCCTGCGGATGCTGTTCTGTGCAACGGAGGGGCCAAAAGGGGGCGCGGCCAAGACAGTGACATTCAAAAATTCCCTGAGTGTTCCCCAGTTTCAAACGGAGGTGGGTGAATGATGACTCAGGAAATGTCACTGTCATGTTCCCCGTACTATGGCGGGGGGGATGGCGTGGGTTAGCTTTCTGGGGATGGTTGCTTTTTGCCCTTGCCGTATCCCATTTTCGGCCACCAAGGGGTGGTGGGCTCGGTAGTTGGGTGGCGAGATGCTGTTGGGCCAGGAACGCAACTCGTAAACTCTTCCGGCTCATCAAAATTCAGCTCCTTTGGTTTGTGCGCCGAGAGAGCAGCAGCAGCAGCAGCAGCAAAAGCCACCAAACAATGTTTCTTGCACAAGTCGGACTGCCAGATTGCGTTGCGGTTCCTTTCCGTCCCTTTCCTCAGACGATGACAACTCCGGCCTGATTATCATGCCCCAAGGTTTTGGGCTGAATCGTTGAATGCCGCCCACTTGTTGTCGGATTCACGAGTGAGTCAAGGCACATGCAAACTGCCAGTCCTTTTCTCCCTGTCGCAGCTGAGGCGGCGCGCGAACCACCTCGCCAGCTAGAGTCTTTGAGCCAGGTCCGGTGTACTGTGTAGGTCGCATTTACGAGAAGACTCGTCACATGTGAGAGCGTCAGCCATGGCTTGCTCACCGGCTATTGGCATACCAGCCCTTATTCGCAAGTCCTGGCGCATCACCACTTCCGACGCCGTAAAGCAGTCCTGTAAGTATGGTTTCGGACGCGGTGCAACGTTGGCGTTTAGCCATCGCGATGTGTCCTGTAGAGCGGCCTCGAGGGGGCGTCCACCGAGCGCAGGGCGGCATGGCGATGAGGGCCGCAATGGCGGTAGTCCGTCCGCTGCAGCTCAATGGTGTTATCTTCGGTATCAGCTACTGGAAACCTATCCAAGGCAACGCGTTTCTGTTGTGTCTCTTCTGAGCGCTGCCTCGATGCGCACGACTCTTGTCTGTGCCTGTTTCTCTAAACAGAAAATCAAGGCCACGCATGCGTGGTTTACCTGCCTATTTCCTCACCGCCATAACATTATGAAGCGATAGGTCGAACTGGACACACACTGGCACACGAGATGGTGTGGTAGATGCAGGCCTCTCCCACAGAGGGTGAGAGGATAGACTATACGGTACGTACAACCTATGAGCATGGGCGTGGTGATTTCTGAAAAATCGATCGCCAAAGCCACGAAGCAAGTTGCAAGAGAAGTGGAGACCGGGGGAGTCTGGGGGAGAGCGGCATGGCGTCTTTGGCCTACTTGGAAGGCGTTCCGATTCGAAGAGCCCTGAGATGGAATTGCTTTTCGAGACAGCGCATGCGGGCGAGGCCGCCCTTCAAAGGATTGTGCACTGTCGCCTGCCGTGTAAGTTCAAGCGGCCAATGCTCCCGGGGAAGGACGGAAGATTGGCTGGTGCGGGAGAGAAGAGATGAGACATGACGCGGATATCCAGGTGAATGCTGACATTTAAACAATCGAGTAAATGAGATGTGTCCAGTCGTTGGGAAGAAAGCTGGGTTGCTTGGCTTGTGACAATGCTGGCTAGATAGTTTGCTTGCTAAGTGACGGCCCGACGCTCATATTGCGCCCCCGAGAAGGATGAGAAAGTCAAAGAGAGTGAGCACTGCTCGGTGGCACACCGGTATCTGTTTGTTTGACTTCAGGAGCCAGGTCCTTTGCTCGATGAGCTCGTCGAAACATGATCTCGAAGTTGAGACACCTTCGCGGGGCGCTTAGACAAAAGGACAGATACTCTTTCCTCTTGATCGTTCCTCATGATCGTTCCGCCTGACGCTGAACCAAGGACTGGGGTTATGGTGTGATGGCGCTAATCTGCGCTTCCAACAGACCACATGCGCTAACTTCCTAGACAAGAAGGCCAGCTGAGATGGAAAGTTGTCTTCTTCTTCACTTGGCAAAGCCTCCCGGGTTATGAGAAGAGGGTGTCGCAATTTGTCGCGGTTGCAGGGAGACGCAAGCCAGGCTGACCAAAGTGTGGGGGGATCTGATTCGAATCTCGTCGATGAGGCGTGTAAACGAAGCAAAGAAGATAGGAGATGCTGCGCCTGTCCGATGACCTCCAAGGAGCGCATGCCTTGGTTCTCTCTTTACTTCGATATGTCATCGCTAGTGATGTAGGCGCCGCTCACGCCTGTTCCCGCAAGCAAACGCCGCACTCTCTCCGGTTTCCGGGGTTGCTGAAGACTACATTCCGATTGCGCCCGAAGTTGGTCTTATCGTAACTCCGAAGGACGTGGCTGGGCCTCATCTCGCTTTCTTCGGCATTAGCCATCATCGTATGGCACACCACACCCTCTTCAAGCGGCGCGGGCAGGCTGGTGTGTCGGGTTTGTGTGAGCCCCCCACGAGCTGCCCCACGAAATTTACCCCGGTATCTAAAGCGCGTTTTGACGTCGTTTTATGGAGTTGTGGGGGAAAAGGCGTGCTCTCATGCAACCTTGTTGGGACAGCCGGAATCTTGCGCCAGAATGGGCGATAAGCAACCAGATCCATCCATGGATCTCTTCAATGACGCAGCCGCCCCATCCAAGTTATCCCAGAGGATAACACGGAGTCAAGACTTCTCTGAAGAATATCATATGTATCCGTACGCCCAGCTCTTGTCCTCTTGGCCTCTCCCACAGGCTTAACCGTAGTTTCGTACCGTGGCCTCGGCCCTGTTTGCTGACAGGCCAGCATGCCCCGTGTCAATCAGACTCTCCCGCTGTGTGTCAGCGAGCCAGGGCTTCGGTATGCCGATGACAGGCTGACAGTAAAATCAGGACCATCCCTGGATTGAGGCGAAGCTGAAGCCTGTCCCGTCCCATCCGATCAATATCCGTGCCGTCAATCCGCGGGATTGGAAACCAACATAGTTGATATCCTCGCACCAAACAAGCGTACGGATAGTCTTTGGGACTTGGGATGCTTGGTGCCACGGTGCCTTGGTGAAGGTTTCGCCCGCAACTCCCGCTTCATCCAGTAATTTGTCGGACCTGTTTCCCTGTCCAACCAGCCGTGACTGGTTAGTATGATGACTTTTTCCCGCTGTTGGCGTAGCTACAAGTCTATCAGCACGCCATGACTATTGACAACGCAAAATCGGGTTGTATCTCGGCATCTCTCTCGGGCACCATGCATCCGCTGTGCTTCGGGAGCTCGAAGTAGACGCACGCTCCGGCTGAAGTTATGGTGCGACGGATCGGCAGGATGAACTGGCGCTTTTGTGCTCTGCAGTGTACCGGTTTTCCGTAGATATGTCAAGTTGTCACTCGCACGCTCTAAATATCATCCAACGCCCTAGAGCCCATTGCCTATTGTTTTGGCGTTGTGTTGCTGCCGCAATATTGATAGATCAGCATACCCCATCGTGGATTCCAACCTGCTCAATAACTTCAATCCTGCGGGCGAGGTGCAAATTGCCTAGCTGAGTGTGGGGGAGAGTCATGGCATGTTTGATATTGATTGCCCAAAAAACGTCTGGGGAATCGGGGATTTGACAACTTTCTGAAGTCCCTAATGATGCCAATTTGGCGCAACGCATAGTCTTTTGACGATTCTAGGTTTGACGCCTAATTAGCGACTAGGACTCTGGCGAATATTTCACCGTTGGCCAAGGCGGTTGCAGATAACGACAGCCAGCGACAGCCAAGCGCTACCATAGTGTAAAGCAAGCGTTGAAGGTCGCGGAATGGTCTCTCCAACGAGAACGTAGCGGAGGGTCGATCCTCCGAGGCGGACCACGGGTCCGAAGACTCAAGACACCCATTGAGACACCTTGGAGGATGTGAGGTCTGCGCATATCAGCTGTCCAGGCGTCGTTGGGCCAAGGGACGTAATCCTCCGCCATGGGGAGTTGACACCAAAGGTCTCCTGTCTATCGTCATCAGTCATTCAGAACCCCCCAGATAAGAGCTATGCAACAAGGAGTTGGCTGTTGCGACGCATCAATTGGCCATGTCTCGAAGAGTTGCTGACATCAGACACTAGGCAGCTCAATCTGTAGATATGGAGAGCCAGCAGGAGACGCTGTGATTGGAGCGCCAGTTTGGCAACGGGTAGTGACAGGCGGCGCGTTGAGGTGGTTTGGTCCTCGGATTGGCGGCCGCTGTATCTAAACTTTGGCAAAGCAAAGGGCAAATCGGCCGTTCCAGGCCAAGGAAACCCCCCGCATCCTGCTCAGTCGCGCGAGCCAGGTTCTAATTACCCCGGCGATACCATTGACAAGCCTCATGCGACGAGGTGCTGGTACTCGGTAGGTAGTGTACGAACAATTGGGTGCTAGTTCTCTCAACCAAGCGTGGTAGGCGGGTAAATGTGCAGCGAGCGGAGAAGCGGGACGAAGAGTTGGTTCGATGCCGGCTGAGAAGGATTGAGAACAGTGTGCTTTGGTGTACGTAGCCTGTAGGGAGATGGGGACTGATTCTTGATCGAGAACAAAGTTAGAAGGGACACAGACCGTGACAGACGAGAGGCCAGGAATAGATGAAATGGCGAGACACGGGGGAGAAGCGGAACGGTATCCGAATAGTCGATTTCTGGCATTCTCAGATTCAACCCCTTGCAGGCCGTCAAGGCTGCCGAGATGCACAAGCAGTTTGTGTTTCATTGTGCTCAGGGGCGGTTTGCTTGCTTCCCGTGCGTGCATGATTCCGTCGCCGGATATCTAGGGATTGCGGGCGAGAGTGTCGAGACCCTGAATGGAGTCGAGAAGAAGACGATGCAACGTCGAGGCCCGGACCCCAGAGAAACACCATGGCTGGACTGTGTTTCCGCTTTGGGCAATCCGAATCAGGTGGGGGAGAGCCTTCCATGAGGCTATGGGCCCTTGATGAATGAGCAGAGATAGGCAAGGAGCTCCCGAATATCTCCTCGGTCTGGAGACTGGCGATACCGCGGTGGTTCGGTGGAAGCCGAATCGAGAGAAACGGAGGGCAATTTCCGTCAATCAGCAACGGCGAAAGGCGCCAGGCCTGTGGTACCGTCTTTTTACGGCAGCCCCGGTCCGTTCTGGGGGAATGGGCTGGGGAAAGCAGGGAGCATAGGGGGGGACCTAGAGGGGGGAAGAAGGCACGACGGGATTGACAAGGGGAGGGGCGTGTGGAGGATGGGGGGAAGGTGCAGCTGTTGGAAGAGGTAGCAGGCGCGGCAGGATCTTTGAGCCTCCTCTGACGCCGGACGGGTCTGACCTTATCTGTGGGGAAACATCGAAAGATGCTCCCCAAGCGGGCCAGGGCGGGTCCTGGCCTGAGGGTGAGCCGGTGAGGTGTTGACTGCCCTGATCATCGCCCTGATCATTGATGCGCCCAGAGGGAGGCAATGGCTTCTTTCCTTCCATTTTCCCATTCCTGCCCGGTTTGCATCTGTGGGTCGAATCCCGGCTCCCGGTCCCATTGACCTCCGGATTGTCACCTCGACTTCCAAGCTTCTCTCTTCATTCCTGGTACCACGATTCACACCCCTCGATCCCCTTCCGAGCAATCACCAAACCCCTTCAGGCCTATCTCCCGCGCCCCAGCTTTCTGTCAATGATTTTCGGCTTGCGGCATGGGTATCCAAGATGGCGAAACTGGTAGGGGACTCTTGATGGGAATACCCGCCGATTCACTCCACTTCCTCTTCTTCCTCTCGGTGCTTCCTCTTGCCTAATCCGACTTAGATTCTCTCACTCTTCTCGGCCTTACTTGACATTACACAGTACATTCGATCCAAGAGCCCCGTAGCACTACAGAAAGCCCGCACTACCGCTAGAAAAGACCCTGCAAACGCTGTCGCCATCGCCGAATGGCTTAGCTATCGCAAATGCAGTCTATGGAGCAGACTACTCTGGATTTGCATTCGCACATTAAGACTCAAATGAATTCAGCCGAAAAAAGGGCCTCCCATTGCCCAGATGGAGAGCGCGCCAATGGAACAGCAGCACCCGTGCTTATCAGCGCAAAACAGCTTTCAAGTGCCTGGCCCCTGGATGGCGGTTGAAACTCCCTCCCCTGGCCTTTAATGCCTTCCTCCATGGACACTTTTGCCGCCTCAATCAGAACTTGTGGCCCCCACCGGCGCCTCGGTGTGCCCTCAGCCGCTACTACTCACCGTCCCATCCGGTCCCTAACCTGCGTCGATACGAGCCGAGATGCGTGGGTACCATGCCCTCGATGCGAGGGCCAATCCAGAGTGCATGGCATGTCACCCTGCCCAATTTGGTTCGCATCTCGTGCCGTAGAAGTTCGTTTGCTCGCTCTCAGGGCTTTGATATCCTCATAGAGATTCACACGGGGTACCTGACATGCGTTGATGCGCTTGACAAACTGTCCAGGCCATACAATGATGGTGCCTTACGTGTGTACGCACCGCTCTCTGGAGACATCAGCTTGGCAATGCGGCCCGTCTGTATCAGCGAACGATGTCTGCCGGGCATAGTTTGATAGATACCATGGTGATGCTATGCTTACAGTGTCGTGTAGTCACAATGCACGGCAAGATCCAGTTTCCTAACATCGATCGCCTGCATTGCCGTCGTGATCTTCCCCGCAAGCCAAGCATCTCTCGCTACATTTGAGCCGATAGTATTATACAACAAAAGTATATCCTTCATATAGTTCATCCAGATTTGCCCGCCGGTTCCCATATTCTCTCACCGGCCCCTCCACCCCGAGCAATCTTCAAACTAGCCAACTACAAGTCCGGCCAAAGGAGCCTCATCCGCCGCTGTACGTTGGGTATCATCGGTCTTCTCCACGATCTTGGGATCTGTCTTCTCCGGATGCCGGTCCGGAATCCGGCTACTCTTTCGTGCGGGGGGCTAGTCTGCGCCTCTTTTCCCCAATATCATGTCGTGCAGGTACGTTATTTACGTGGAATTACGGCCCGAGGAAAGCGTTGGTCTTGAT